TCCATACCAACGGGGAGAACAATGTCGCGTTTGTTGAGACAATGGCGCTGGATGGGGAGACAAATCTGAAAAGCAAGCAGACGACGGCTTCGATTTCCAAGACGATTATAGACCAGGAAGACGTCCTGAGGACCGATGCCGAGTTCGTTGTCGAGGATCCCAATCGCGACTTGTACAGCTTCGAAGGACGCGTCGTGGTCGACGGGAAGCAAGCGCCACTTACACTCAGCGAGATCATCTTCCGAGGTAGCATCCTGCGAAACACACCAGATGCGATTGGCATGGTCATTTACTCTGGAGAAGAATGTCGCATCCGCATGAACTCGAACAAGAACCCTAGGATCAAAGCGCCAGCACTCCAAGGCCTGGTCAACCGCATCGTCATCCTCATCGTCGTCTTCGTCATCGCTTTGTCAATATTCAATGCCGTGGCCTACAAGATCTGGCAGAGGAACGAAGACGACATGTGGTATTTGCGTGGCTCCTCCGTCGCATTCTTCCCCAGCTTCACCTCCTTCATCATCATGTTCAACACCATGATTCCTTTGTCTCTCTACGTGAGTCTGGAAATCGTCAAGTTGGCGCAAATGTTCTTTCTACATACGGATATCGACATGTACGATCCCGTCTCCGATACGCCATGTGAACCGCGCACGTCGACCATCAACGAGGAGTTGGGCCAGATTAGCTATATCTTCTCGGACAAGACGGGCACGCTGACGGATAACTCGATGAAGTTTCGTAAGTTGAGTGTAGCGGGCGTGAGCTGGTTGCATGACGCAGACTTGAAGGAAGAAGGGAAGAAGAAGTTGATCCACAAGACGAGGAAGAAGGGGAAGCAGCCTGTGAAGAACAGGAAGAGTGTGAGATCCGCCAAGGATGTAGCGGGTGAGGAGCCCGTCGTTGAAACAGTGGAGCAGTTGGAAAGCCCTGGGGAAGGCGGCCCGTCAAATTGGCGATCGAGCGCGAAACCGGGAAAGACATCCCGCGAGCTGCGTACACAGGATATGCTGAGGTATATCCAGAGGAAACCTCATACGCCGTTCTCGAAGAAAGCGAGGATGTTCCTTCTTTCCCTGGCCTTGTGTCATACTTGTCTGCCTGAGATCCAAGAAGATGGTAAAACACACTTCATGGCTTCCTCTCCAGACGAACTCGCCCTCGTACAAGCAGCACAAGACATGGGCTTCCTACTCATCAACCGCGACGTTCACACCATCACCCTCAAGATTATGCCGACGGGACCCGATGGCGAGCCAGTCTCAGAGGTCTACGAGATACTAGACGTTATCGAGTTCTCGAGCAAACGAAAGCGCATGTCGATCATTCTCCGCTTCCCAGATGGCCGCACATGCATCATCTGTAAGGGCGCAGATTCCATCGTGATGCAGCGGTTGAAGCTAGCTACGCTCGCGAACAAGAAGATGGTTGAGATTGAGCGGCGGGCTAATATCCGGAAGAGCATGGAGGCTCAGCATGCGATTGCGCGTATGAGCGAACACGCTGAGCGGCGGAGTAGTGTGGCTGGTCGTCTGAGCAGCGTTGGTGGCCGAAGGAGTATGACGCTCAGTCAGGCTGCGAGGGCTAGTTTGAATCTGGGCCGCCCGTCTTTCGCTCCCAGTGTGGGCAGAGGAGGTTCCGTGTCAGCGAGAGATGAAGTGGATCAGTGGCTACGCGAGCGTGAGAATGACCGCATGGACATGTCGTCTCTCGATGAAGATACGCCGTACCAGACACCGACACAGACACCCCGCCAATCAGGTCTGGACCGCTTCAGCATGGCATTTTCATCAGCACGCAGCTCGATGCAGATTGGCTGGGAAGACATGGAAGCCATGGTCGACGAAGGCATTGCGGGCGACGACACTGCGGTCATCGAACGCTGTCTCCAGCACATCAACGAGTTTGCCACAGAGGGTCTGCGAACCCTGCTCTACGGCTACCGCTTTCTCCACGAATCTGAGTACCAGTCCTGGAAAAAAGGGTACCTCGACGCAACAACCAGTCTCGTGGACCGGACGCGGCTCATCGAAGAAGCAGGTGATGAGATCGAACAAGACCTCGATCTATGTGCCGCTACCGCTATTGAGGACAAACTGCAGCAGGGCGTACCTGAGGCAATTGACAAGCTGCGCAGGGCCAAGATCAAAATGTGGATGCTAACAGGCGACAAGCGAGAAACCGCAATCAACATTGGCTACTCATGCCGGCTCATCAAAGAATTCAGCACCGTCACCGTTCTCGACCACGAAACCGGACTCGTCGAACAAGCCATCAGCTCCGCCATAACGGCCATGACAGCCGGCACCGTCGCCCACTCCGTCGTAGTCGTGGACGGCCAAACACTTTCCAAAATCACAGACAACGACCTGCTCGACACGCTGTTCCACGAACTCGCCATCCTCGCCGACTCGGTCATATGCTGTCGCGCGTCCCCGAGCCAAAAAGCCCAACTCGTAAAGTCGATCCGCAAACGCGTCAGGAAATCAATCACCCTGGCCATCGGCGACGGCGCAAACGACATCGCCATGATACAAGAAGCCCACGTCGGCATCGGCATCACAGGCAAAGAAGGTCTCCAAGCAGCCCGCACGTCAGATTACAGCATCGCGCAGTTTAGGTTCCTCGTCAAGCTACTGCTAGTGCATGGCAGGTGGAATTATATTCGCACGTGCAAGTATACCGTCGGCACGTTCTGGAAGGAATTGCTCTTCTACCTCACGCAGGCGCTGTTTCAAATGAAGGTGGGTTATACGGGTACTAGTTTGTACGAGTCGTGGTCGTTGAGTATGTTCAATACCCTGTTCACTAGTTTACCAGTCATCTTCATGGGTGTGTTTGAAAAGGATTTGAGCGCGAGTACGCTGTTGGCGGTGCCGGAGTTGTATACGATTGGGCAGCGCAACGGTGGTTTCAACTTTCGCGTTTATCTCGCTTGGATGTTTATGGCGAGTGCAGAGGCCATGGTGGTTTATTACGTCATGTTGGGGTTGTATGGGGATGCGTTGTGGACCGAGGATAACTCCATCTTTGCTCTTGGGAGTATTACGTATACGGCAGCGGTGTGGTTGATTGCGTTGAAGATGCAGTATGTATCCCCTCGTTCCCCCATGGAGGATTCGGTTTGCTAACATATCCCCACAGGTTCATAGAAACGCACTCCAAAACAGCTACCAACGCCATCGCTCTCATCCTGTCGATTGGCGGCTGGTTCCTCTGGAACATTATCCTCTCCTCGCTGTACAATCCCGAAAACAAAATCTACTACGTCCGCGACACTTTCTTGCGTGGTTTCGGCGCGAGTTGGTCGTGGTGGCTTGCTCTCGTGCTCATCCTCCTCTCCGTCATGGTATTTGAGTTGGCGGTCAAGAGCGGCATGGCGGCGTGGTGGACGAGCGATGAAGATGTTTTCCAGGCTCTGGAGAAGGATCCTGGTGTCAAGCGCAGATTTGAAGAGGCGGCGGCTGGGGAGCTGCAGCAGGGCTGGGATAGGGAGAAGGGGAAGGGTGCGAAGGTGGGAAGTGAGGTCGGGCTGAGTGAGGATGAGGAGAGGAGGAGGGAGGGAGAGATCAAGGATTTGATTAGGAATCGGGTGGAGGATGGTGGTGCTGGGGTACAGGATGGTGGTGATGTTAATAGGATATTGAGTCGTGGGTTCGGGGATGTGAAGACGACATAGTTAACGGGAGAAGTGTCTCTTCTTTTGCGTATTAGCGCATCCTCTTGGACGAGGTTATGATTTCATGGGTACATATTTGCCATTCTTTTTTTTCCAACCTCTAAGACCAAAAGCAGTTGGTAATTTGCGATGTATACAGTATTGTTGTGATTCTGTAGTGTGACCTCGAGAATACGGTTTAGCGTAAGGCGGTGCATACCAATCACATGTCGCCGAACTCAGCCTCATTACTTCTTTTCCGTCCTGCAGCCTAGTAAGCTATCATCTCGCATGCCATCTTCAGCCCTGTTCGTGTGCTGCATGTCTACTCTCCTCACTTTAGCCCGCTTTACGAACTCGTCATCAGCTTTTCCCGGCAGGAATGGATACCACACATGGAAGCTTGGCCACTTCGCGGGGTCATAGAGACCATCGCTCGACCAGAAGCCTCTCCAGAGTCATCAGACGGGTTTTACATCAACCACAGTCCTACGCCGAGAACCACGACACCATAGCTACTAGCCGAACTCTAGGGAACAGAATCCAAAGCTACCTAATCAGACCGTTCACTAGGGCAGACACTAAAGACCGTTGTTCCACACAATCGCGCCTCCGGCAGACCCAAGGACACATTCTCCATTCTCATCACGATGGAACTCTCGCTATAGAGGAGCGACCGCCAGTGGAATCAGGGGGCGAGCTCTGTCCAAAGGGGTCCGTCCCGCTGCATCAGCTTTGCAATAGGTGCCAACGATTTTTTGATGTTTTCACAGACGAGTCTACGTGGTTTGAAGACTCCCCAAAAGAGGGGGATGAGATCAAGGATTGGCGGATGCTCGAATCATGCACCCTAGCGGATTTGATAAACGATCAAAAATCTTGTCATTTTTGCGCAATCGTATACTCAATATTGAGGAACAACGATAGCCTTTCACCATATTGTTCCATCGCATTCGGCTCAGGGTCAGGAATGAGGGTATGGATCGATGGTGTTGGAGAGATCCGGGGTATCGAAGTCATACATTGCTCATGTCAGTGGCATTAAACAGTCCAGCTTTTTTCCAATGATATAGCTAACATTTCGTTAGGGCGTCCAGACGACACATTCAATGCTCCGTTCGTCGCACAGCATATTCCACGCCGACCGGAGGACAACTTAATTCAAATTCAGAGATGGCTAGATGCCTGCACTTCGAAGCATCCTAGATGTAACAGTTGGTGTTCAAGTCTTGAAACAAAGGGACATCGACCAACAAGAGTTCTCGAGCTCAGCGACATCGGTATTAGATTGCGGTGCGATGTGCAAGCCATATGTGATTTCAAGTATCTGGCCCTTAGCCATATGTGGGGTAAGGATGCCTCAAAGCAGCTTAGACTGATGTCTTCAAAACTGCAAGATTTCCAAGAGGCTATACCTCTGGATATGCTTCCAAACATCTTCGCAGAAGCCATTCGGATCACCCGCTACCTCAACTTCAAGTACCTGTGGATCGATTCGCTCTGCATCATACAAGACTCTAAATCTGACTGGACGGCGGAGGCGAACATGATGTCTGCTGTATACAATAACGCCGTCTGTACAATTGCATTCGTTTTGCCACCCGAGGTCAGCTACGACTCCACTCAGCTCCGAGAAGATCCACGAGTATCAACGCCTTGTGTCATTCGCGAACCCATGCAATTCAAGCATGGTATAATTGTCACACTTGATAGAGCTGCGCAAACTACAGAATCATCACACAGGGACTGGCCCCTATCCTCAAGAGCATGGACCTTACAAGAGCAGATATTGAGTCCACGCACGATCTTCTGGGGAGATGATACTATCAAGTGGGAGTGTGTAGAAACATTTTGCGATGAGTTGGTTGGTGACGGTGACCTGATAGGAATATCGAAAGGGCATTCCCCAGACCTCACCCTAAGAGAGCTCTTATCTCCGCGCTTCTGTTCTCAACCGAATGAATCGAAACGAGGAGTATCAGGCCAAACCGGAGAGTACAATATAATCTCCAATTGGAACAGATTGATAAACGATTATAGAAGAAGAGACCTCACGCACGCAAACGATAGGATCATGGCCTTTGCTGGGATCGCACAAGCTTTCCAAGCGGAACACGGGCTGGTCTACTTAGCTGGAATGTGGAAGGAACACTTGCCACGCTCACTGCTGTGGTTTATAGATGATCCGGCGAATATTGTGGAAAGCTTGTCGTTGACGCCTCATCCGATGGCGATGATGAAGGGGTTGACTTTCTCTGACCCCATACTGAATTCTGCGCCGACGTGGTCATTCTTCGCCAGTGCTATCTACTCGAATCGCTTGGACCGGGACGTTCATCTTACGCACGGTCAACAAGCGATTTTCGGTCTAGGATATGTCCTATTCTCAGCTGCACTTTTGCATTTTGCATGGCCCAACGCGCCCGTGGATTACAGCCCCCCAACGGCTTACTATGACTTCGTCGGCTTACAAATCTCACTCAAATTTATAATGATTGACGTTGCGTCACCGTTACCGAGAGAGCAAGAGCTATATGACCGCACCTTCCGCAGTAAAAGCTTAGAAGCACAATTAGGTTCACTGTTCGAAATTGGCGGGGATTTTAAGAAGGTCTGTTTGTATTTTGATGACAACGGAAAGATCGATCAGATCTCGACTCAGATTCGCATCGCTATTGTCGAGGAGCGCTGGCGTGAATACCACGGAGTATATAATTTTGAAGGCCTAATCTTGGAGCCTGGAGAAGAAGAGGACACATGGAAGCGATTGGGTTATTGCTACGGGGAAGCTGAGTCTGATCTGTCATACACGACGATTGCAGAAAAACCTCTTCCAGAAAGCAGGACTTCCATGTCAGGCGAAAATTCTCTATTCCTGCGCCTCGAAGGAGCAAAGATGGAGACCCTTACTTTAGTGTAGCTATGTTTCTAACAGGCTGCTTCCTGAGTCTTCTTCTAAAGTCGCCAAAATAACTTAACTGTACTAGAACTACTAGCGCATAGTGTATGCGACGTATGCTAACGAAATAGTTGATGCGTGCAGCAGCATCGGCCATAACTTCGTCCACGAGAAGAATCAATATCTCTTAATGCAGAAGAGAACAGTAGTCTTCTACAGCCAAGTACGAAGTCTCTACATCTGCATACCGATACGAACAAATGGAATGTCATGAAACCCTTATGTGAATTCCTGATCCAAGAATTTACTGGTCAATATTGTGTATTCTAGTCTTATGACACTAGATTTAGCGCCTGGGGATAGGCTCCTTGGATGCTCTACATACCCTTTTCACTAGTGCTGCTCGCATGTCTTCGATGAGCGCATTACTTTCTGCGCTCGCAGCGAATTCGCATGCTACTGGAGGGCAATGCTTCTCTGCAATTCATCTCCTCATACCTTTTTTAACAGGCGTACAGTATAGCCCTATCGTTCCTTCCGTGCTAGTGGTACAGAAGGATCCAGTGGTAGAAATCACCTCGCGAAGCGATACGGCCTCTGATTGGTCTTGGGAATAGGGGCCCTGTGCGAACGTGCAATACCGCATCTTTCAGTGACCAGCCCTCCCGAGCGAGAGCACGAAAGGTCGTCGTGATATTTGAGCAATCCTAGTCGTTTTCCGGTGTGTCTTACAATGCGAGGTGTATTGGGGGCGAACTACCAATCTGCATTTAACATAGTGATACTGTTAGTGATCTGATTGGCTGATAGCTACAGTCGGGCTTGTCACAGCCTGGTGAAATGGCAACCTGACAGGCGCTGATCTTGGCCTCAACTACAGCTCATATGTATACAGCGTGGTGGCCCTTTGCCTTCTCTAGGACTAGAGGATGTACCCTAGCGGTCTGCGTTAACTATAAAGTCGACTGCTCAATACGTTCTGTTATTCAACACCTCTTCATTGACCTAATTTTCCGACACTGTACCTGCCAAGCAAGCCAGCAACTACTTACCATGATGTCTCCTCTTAAGTTTGCGGCCTTTGGCATTGTAGCTCTCTGCACCGACCTCTCCCAAGCCGTGCCAACAGCTTCTGTTGTTGATGCCGCTCTCGTGCCGCGCAACGGGTGTTCTGATCAAGGAGCTGGGCACTGTAACCTTGTAATGGGTGGCATACCAAACGGCGACACAGCAATCACCTGGACCGAAGCAATCATTTACAACAACGCTTGTCGCAAGCTCGGTGACCAAGGCGGACTCTACCCAGTCAAGCAGGGTGATTACTGACCTGCCCTCTACTCACTATCTCTTCATTGAAGCTGACAGTTGTAAGGGAACGCGATTACTTCTCAACTCAAATACACCGTCGTGCTTGGATTGTTGCAAGAATACGGCGATGTGAATTACATTGGCATGTGCTATGCAGGCTACTGCTACACTGGCTATTTTGCTTGCTCGAAAGATGGCAGCAATTTCGTTACGTGTGCTCACTCGTTCCCGTGTTAGTGGGACATGTCGCCGCGGGTGGAGTGAATATGGGCAGTCGTTGGAGATTGGACGTAGGGTGCTAGTTGTCGGTGACTTGCGGCGGAGAACAAGGTTAAGACATAAGGAATCTGTAGGCACAATCGTTACTAAAATATATAACTTATACCACTATATCTTCAATAGAATACTCACCCGACCAGCTGTGTCAGAGCAACGAACACCATGTTGTCAATATACCACCCACGGCCTAGCTGCGCCCGCCCGCGCAACGGCCCTTGTCATCTTAACATCGACAGCTACACATCCTCCTCCGCCACCCTGGCTACAACGATTGCAACAGTGTCCTCTTCAAGCTCCACGCGTCCGACCTTGACAACGATGTGCAGCCAGGTCTCTTTGCGCAATTTGTAATCGATACCTGTGCCGTGATTGCGGAAATCACATCGGCTGGGGCTGGCTCTCGTTATTGCAGGACGGCAACGGCCCAATCGACCCTACCAGCACGCTACGCGAACCTAGCTATTGTTATCATCTCGATACCACCGATGATTCGTGTCCCATTGTACCAAACTTCCGTCAGTGGACTTGCCCGCACGACCACGCTCCTCCACACTGGCAACAGCTAGCCCCCGACTCGAACCTACGTGTAGCTATGGAGTGGCTGGTTTTCCATAAGTTGTACGTAGCAAGCGAACGAAGCCTACTCTAAAGGTGCACAGTATGTTGTGCTTTACTCTATATCATTTCATGATTGAGCAAACATATCTGAAGTACTGTACAGCTTGATGGGCAGGGAAAGAGAAGCCTACTCCAGTAAAGCATTTCGTTTCTCTCGAAAATCCGTAGTTCGCAGTAACTTCTGGAGTAACACCGGGCGCTGGCTAGCCTACCGAGCATTCTGTGGAGGAAGCGTGTAAGAAAAGTGTTATACAAGGATCATATGTCACTCATCTAGAATGAGTCTACTTTGCAATCGTTGAACGAGTTTCGCAAGGTCATGTACGAACAGGGGAAGGAAAGGGGTTGCATGACTATTGCGGAAGCTAAGAAAAATAGAATAGAATATAAGTTGAAGAATGTACCCCGCGACAAGACAAGATGCCATGAAGCTCACTTGAGAATAGACGGACTCATCCACTGTCTACCGCCTAGTAGTGCAGCGCAAAGTTCCTTGCCTGCTTCTTCCCCTTCTTCCACGCGGTACTCTCACTCGTCCCGTTAACCTTCTTCGCCAACTTCGGATCAAACTCCGTAACGACACCCTTTCCAACCGGCTTACCGAGGTTATCGCTCATCGGCCTGACAACATCGCACCTCAGCGCCTGCGCAGGGCTCATGCGCTCCATCTTCGTGTTGTTCGTCTGGATGAAGAGCCTCTCACGCGAGTCGGCACCAGTGTACGGCTTCCACTCAACAGCACGGCTGGCGCGGTCAGTGTTGGGGTCAAGGTTGCGGATGAAGCTGGTCCAGTAGCTGCGCACTTGCTTGATGATGGGCGCGTTGGTGGTGAAGTAGCTGGGTGGTTCGCCGCCGTCGGTGCGGTTTACGCCCCAGAAAGCGTATGCGTTGACGGTGTGCCAAGCGCCGTAGCCGGCTGCCTCATCGGCCGGGTCTTGTACGGCATACTTGTAGTTGTACGTGGGTACGTCGTCGCGTGCGATCGCATTTTGGATGTTGCGGGTTGGGCAGTGAGTTCCGATATCACCGATGGCGTCAGCAGCGTGGCGCCAGTAGAGTCCCTTGCCGGGGAATGAAGGCTTCGCGGGTTTCATGTAGAGATCATCGATGATCGAGATGGAAGAGTTGCTCAAGCTTGGGTCTTGGTTGGCTACCCATTTGACTGCATCGGCCGTAGTGTTGAGATCTTCTGGCGCGTTGTACTTGGTGCCTTCTTGAGCGCAAGTGCCCATGATCGTCGGTACCTTTGCGTACTTGCCCTGGTCGAAGAGGTTCACAAGCGAGTCGGTGTAGAGGTCGCCATCGATGTTGGGGTTGAACCAGCAGTTGGAAGAACGGATAGCCGACTCGTTCAACGCACGTAAACAGGAGAGGCCGTCCGTCGCATTGGCGCAACCCTTGTCTTCGAGCAAGCACTGGTATTGTTCCTCGCCCAATTCCGGAGTGCGCATCGTGACCCAGCCACCCGACTCCATGATACCGCCAGCAAACAGCTTCTTGCCCGTGTTGGCTGCCATCATGAGCGCAACAGACGATCCACCAGCACTGACTCCGTCAAGAACAACATGGTCTGGGTCACCACCGAACTGGTCGATATGCTCCTTGACCCACTCGAGGAGCTTGATCTGGTCGCGTAGCCCAGCGTTGACATCGCCGCCTCCTGCCTTGACCGCTTCGCTGCTGAGGAAGCCGTACAAGCCGACGCGGTAGCTGAATTGCACAAAGACCACCTGGCCATCTGCCACGATCTCAGTGGGATCCCAGTTCGCGCTAGATTGCGACGAGAAGCCACCTCCTTGGAAGAACACCACAACTGGCAGCTTCGAGTCGACGCGGGCCTTGGAAGGCGCATACACGCTCAGGTAAAGACAGTCTTCAGCAATGGTGAAGCGGTCATTGGTTCCGGAAACAGTCCAGTCGTCAGGACGGCTAGGTGGGCATGTTGCGCCGTGTCTAGTAGCGTTGATGAGGCCGGAGACGATAGGGTCTTGTGGTGCCGCGAATCGACGCTCGCCAGTAGGTGGTGCACCATACTGCATGCCCTTCCAGGCAGAGACACCAAGCTCCGAGTCGACGACGGCTCCCTGATACTTTGCGTAGCCAACATCGACGAGAGTGTTGACGGCGTGCGCTACCGAAGAGAAGCCCGCTCCGGCGGCGAGTAATTGTTGAAAATGCTTCATCTTCAAGATGAGTATTGATCAGACAGAAATGAATGTGGACGAGCGGTGCTCTAGGAAAGAATGAACAGGGGCGCAAAGGCACGAAAACTGAAGAAAACGAATGTAGAAACGATTGACTGGAGCATCGGTCTTTCCCTACCTATATTGGCTATATAAACCTACCCCTCCGGATCTTCATGGAAGCGTTCGAAACATATTAAGCCCGTTATGACTGGGTTATCATATACATGTTGCGTTCGGTCCGCACGCTGAATGAGCGTGGAGATTGTGCGTTGATGTTTCTGCGTTGTTCAAAGTCGGGCCGTTGAGCAATACGGCGATTGAGCTGTTTCACGGTGGCATGGCAGGGCGGATAGAACCCAACCTAACTCGAAGCAGAAAGACGCCATGACTCTCAGGGTCTTTGCCTGACGACCGATCGTGTTCGTCCGCAAATCACGGCCTCCGCTCCGCTAGGAGACGGTTTGAGATGGAATGTTGATGCGTTGATGCGAAGGAGCGAACGCGCGGGGAGGTTGACAGCCACGCTAAACATGGTTATGTAAGCAATCTAAGAGATTGCCAGGGTTGCCAAGCTGCACCTATCCCGAGTGCCACTTTACAATTTCATTCACGGAATTAAGAAACCTATCGAACACCGGAGTATTTACATCGTGTTCCGCACATGATGCAACCCTAACACCAGATCTTCGGATTGCGAGAGTCCGACATGAACGCCTTAGCCATATTTTGATCGCCAAAACCTTTCCGTAACATATACCTGTCCAAATCACGACTGCAAATTGGAGGCTATATTGCGGTAATGCCACCACCCATATTGTGCAGTAGTGAATCGAGACCAGAGTGGGTAACCTCCAGCGAGGAAGTGTTCTCGGTATACGCGTTGAGTGTACTCAGCATAACATCCGGATGTGTATCCCAGAGGTCTCCAGTCTTTATTACGCGCGTCGGCTCTACCCTCGTCAAGTGTCGCAGGTGTGTCGTTCCATCTTTTCGACTTCTTGGCGAATTTAGAACGCCGATGCCGGTCGAGCATAGGGTCTGGCCGAGCTTTGACATACGGAGCCATGTCGTTGTAGAAGTGGGCATCTACCAAGGCAAACAGTTTGCGAATACTTTTGGCGTAATGCTTCGGTAGACTTGAACGTTCGATCTTGATCCATTCGACATGGCTTCTGACCTCGTCGAGTTCCCAGGTCGTCCATAAGGAGAACAGGCCTCGAAGCTTTCGTTTGAGGCTTCTCCTTGCTCCATACAGCTTCCGAATCTCGATATAGAGCTGTAACCGAAGGAAGGTACGGAGTATACGATGATGTTCGACTTTAGACAATGTGTCGGCACCGTATCGAGGATACTTCTCGCGGGAATACCGAGCTGCGGCATTGCCTATCGTTATCTTGGCAAATTGATCCGTCAAGGTTTCCGCATCAATCAAGTATGTTTGATACTTTCGGAGAACGGTGACAGCCTGACTGGAGTTATCTACGGACACGTGTGGATTCTCATCGAAGAGGTTGTTTGCGAGAAACTCCGCTAGCTCATGTGAGCGTGACTTGTTCGTGTGCGCTGATAGTAGGACTGTAGTAGCCAGGATTTGCTGGAGCTGACCAGCGAGATTGTTGTATCGCTTGACTGCCCTAAACTGCGTATTGAGGTTGCAGCGCACTACCTCTCTGACTTCCGGGTGTTCAAGAAGTGTGTTATAAGCTTCGAAATGCCCGTCGACAATGAGCAGTTCCAAAATGTAGCATCATAGCTCAGTCGGTAAGTCGAGCATCAGATGTAGGCCATCATCAGTCGCATTGTCGGATCCAGGTGTCACGATTGGAAGCGGCATGGCACAAGAATTTGAGATGTTGTCCTTGTGGGTAATCGTCGTGAGTATCTGGGTGCGCTGAAGCTAATGGAGATTCGCGCAAGAATTCTTTTGTGGGTGGGTTGAGAAAAAATGGGCAAGCTTGGGCGTGGTTATATACTCGACCCCAGTGGCACCTCTTTTGGTAGCGAGGAGCGAGCCACTCATAGTTACCGAATTTCGGATGATACCCAGACGAGGATGTTCTAGAACAGAAGGGAAGATGCATTAGGTACACGACCAAGCTATGCAGGTGCTTGGAGGTACCCGAGTAACATGTGCAAGGCAACGGTAGCGAAGCTAGGGTAATCTAGCTTTCTAGATAAACTTCAGATACAACTGTTGACTCCCAGGCGCCCCTTATCGTCCTCAAACCTCAGACTACGTATTTTGCCTGTGAATATTCATTATTGCCTTGCTCATCTATCCACTACATAAATCTCTCGGCAAAGGCTATGCCAGAGTAATCAACACATGCTGCCACTTATTCGACACCACACTCATCTTCCTCCACCTCTTCGCGACCTCCGCGATGTTCTCCCCGCTGACATGCACATCAACCACATTGATCCTGAGCTTCCACACTCCAACCCTCCTCCATGTTCCTTCTTTAGTTCCAGGCACCAGCATCAACCCAGCCAGCCGCCGCTGAACGTTATTTTTACCCGCTGTCCTCACAACCTGGAACTCCGCCATCAACGCATAGATTGCGTTTCGAGGCGGCGAAGGACGACCAGCCGGATCATCAGGATAGTACTCCAAGACTGGTTCCCAACGAAAACTGCTTCCGGAAGAACTAGCAGTATGTTGCTGCAGCCATCGCATCTGCGTCGCCAGATCGGCTGGCCAATCCGCTTTGACAGGCAAAACCAATGCCGCAATCGTGACTTGCAGGCCGGAAAAGTCAAACAAACCTCCCTCTGGTACACGATCTTTCGCCAGTCCCGCAAACTTGAACCCCTTGACTTCTGCCCAGAAGACATCGTCCCAGCACACAAGCTTCGGGTCGCTATAACCCTTACACCGCACCGCCAACTCGTCATCTCCAAATAGGAAGTACAGTTGATAGTACCTCCATATCGGAACGGAGAACCACGACCAGCTCGGTAACTCTGGTTGTACAACCTTCTCTCCAATCTCAGTCGTCCACACCGAGCTCGGTAGCTCACCATTCGGCAACCCATTCTCGCGACGAACAAGCGGTGCCATTTTCTTGTCAACATACCAAAGGAGTGCAATGGGGAGAATTTCCCACCACAAGCCCGCTAGGTAGGTCAGTTGGCCCAAATTGGAAAACGCACGCGCTACACCCGCAAAAGCAATGATTCTATCTTTCCCAAAAGACAGTTTGCGAGACCGATATTCGTCGACTAGATTCTGCCAATCCAGCATAAAAGACAGAACCGCAGGTTCACTCAGACTGCCTCTCTTCTTCTTCAGCACACTCATCTCATGTATAGTGTCTGGAAAATACCGTGATTTTCCTCTATCCTTGCCACGCTTGGGATCTTGAGGCGTCGTCGTATGCGTTTCCGCAACGGCACCGAGTAATTCATCATAAAACCCTTCTGAACACTGCCACATGAGGTTCTTGTGTCCAAGCAGCAAAGTCCGGGGTGCTAAGAGGTACTCCTGAAACGTCCATGCGCGGTTGAAAAGAGGCCAGGTGCGTTGGACGAGCCAGTCTTGGGCTTTCTCCTCGGGTGCGTAGTCCCGCCGGAGAGAGGACTTTGTATGTTCGACGTAGATACCGGGTGTTTGCGAAGATGGAGCGCGGAAGATACATGGGTTCCAAACGCGCGGGTCGTCGCGTTGGCGCGGTTTGTCGGCTGCGTGGGGTGGGAAGAGGAAGGCGAGATTTGCTGTGGCGTTTCCGTATACAATGGCCATGCGACGGGCTTCGTAAGCCCAGTCTTCCGGTGAGTCTTGGATGATGGTCAGACTGTCTATCCAAAGGTACTTGTATCCGAGCGCAAGAGTGACGCGGACCGCTTCTTTGTACACGTCCGAGGCCTCGAACTTTGTGCGTGGAATCTCCTTTTGGAAGTCTTTGATGTTAGACTGCAGGAGGCGGAGTTGTTGCGTGTGATTAGTTCCCCACATGTAGCTCAAGACGAGATAGTCGAAGCGTTCGTTCTGCATGTTGCAACGGAGGCGGATGCTAGAGTTTGTTATCTCGAGGACTCGCGTTGGTCGTTGCTGGGGAGTGTTGATTGTGCTGCTGTGAAATCTTTTACAGCTTGTGTGACTTCCAACACAGGTTTGCAGCCATTGTTTGGCTTGTTGGATGTTATCGCTTGCGAGAAGCGGTGCTTCTTTTGCGGTAATATGGTTGTCAAATGCTCCTATGTCGGCATCTACTCTCAATCATCAGCCCATGAAAGCACGGAAAACATAACTCCTAAACTCACTGTTGTAAGTCTGGAGTCTGAATGTGGCAAAGGTTCTTCCTCCCTCTGCACTCTTCGTTTTTCCCTTGTCCAGAACCATCCTGACTAAGATATCTGTCCCTTTTTGCGTTTCCAGGCAGAAGTACACACCCGCGTCGCCCGTAGGACGTACACCCAGTTCAGCCGCACGCTGTAACTTTGCAAACACCATCTTACAAAAATGGCAAGATGGCGCTGATTGTGAAAGTTGAGCGACAGTAGATAAGCTCAAGGTAGGCCACGATGAAGGGGGTTGACCACGGGGTCTCTGCAACCAGTCTAGAGCACTGCACTCCTTTGATATCTTGCGACATCGTTCGCATAAAACGTGAAGAGGAACCGACGTCTTGCGTGTTGGTGATGGGGTCGGAGAAGGACCGGATGAGGACGCCTTCTCGTGAGCGGATTCGCGGCGGAACGACGACATAAATGAGGGCATAATTATATACTTGGAAAAGGAGAAATGTGATGAAATACAGCAAAGCCATCATTTTCTAATGGGTACTTATACACAGTTGCCTCCATCTTCAATGAGGTATGATCGCCCCAGGAGCATACCGAAGGGGGTGGGCGCTTACTAGACGCCCGTTGAGCGAGCCGCTCGTGTGGCACAGCAACGTGCCCACTTCTGCCTCTGCATCCTACATGGGCAAATTTGAGCTGAAGAATATCCGAAATGGCCATCTAGACATGAGGGACTAACAAGATAGCAAGGATAGCAGAGAAAGTCTGGTAACCAGGGACGAAGAAAGAGACATGCAAAAGATGAAGTTAGATACGAAGACTAGATGAATCAAACATCAACAAGTAAAGAAGCAACTGACGAGAGCGATATTAAAACCGTCGAGAAGTAAAAAAAACTCTCGGAAATCTAACATCATATTGGGTATCTATCAACACCCTTTCGTCGCAAGCACAGTCTTCTCATAACCAAGAAAGCCCTGCGGCCAACAACCCAATCTAATCCAAAACGCCAATCACGGCCATGCATATAAACAATACCGCGTCGCTAAATATATAATCAGGACATAAAAGAGATGAGGTTCATCACTGCAACAAGCTGCGCGCAAACATGCTTCCGTCATCCCGCGGTGAGATGAAGGCAGGGGCCAAGGCGAGCATTGTTGTACCGTGCTGAAACTACCAGGGTCGGAGAGGGTTTGGTGCGACCCGATGACATAGTAACGCCGATGTTTCACCGAAGTGAACCGTGAGGAGAGACCGCGAAATGGGTATCACGGTTGTGAGATAGGTACGTAGGTGGTAGTGAGATGGCGAAGTCTGAATATCATGCTCAGAGGATGCGACGTCTAGAGAATATTAGTAAGTCTACGCATGCTTGGTGGGGAGGAGGGAGCTCACTGTCTAAACACCGTCTCGAGCGCAACTGCGCTCAACTCGCTATCATCCGGCAGCGCATCAACGAGCGGAATGATGTCCGCAAACTTCTCGCCGCCTTTGTATGCTAGCACGGCAGGTACACCTGTGTCCTCAATCTCAGCGTCGTCGTTGTGCATCTTGACGAAGCGGACGGTGTCGTTGCGCTTAGCTACATCCCGCATTACGGACTCGAAGCTTTGGGATACAAGTGCGTCGGGCTGGAAAGGGTTGTTAGTATACGTTTTGTTGGGATGGGGATAGAGTAGGGTGACAACATACGTCAGAGTTGTAGATGAAGACGACAACAACAGTCCCAGACGCCGTCTTATCAACAGCATCCAAATACCCCTCTCCATCAACAAGCGGCATACCGCCATATATCCTCCTACTAGGACTGTTCGTCCTCGACCGTATCCTCTCGCCAACATTCTGTAGCTCACGTAGTCTTGCCTCACGCCACTGCCTCATGAAGCCCTCATCCATATCATCCTCGCTTCCCGACGAAGCGCTCTTCTCATCCCGATACGCACTAACATTATACTGCGCTGGCTGCGCCGCACTCTTGTTCTTCCACGTGAACCGCCTCGCCTGTTTCTTAGCCTGCTCAAACGCCTGCGCATCAGCAATGACACCTTTGGGACCGGTGTTTGCTTCCGAGCGGAGGTTCGGCATGTAGTAGTTTGCCCTCATGTCGGCTGGGATGTCGAGTTCGTCGTCTGTATCGACCTTTTCGAGGTAGTCGTTTGCTCGGCCCGGGGATTCAGGGTCGCTGATGTCAGAGTCGTTGTCAATGTCCTCTGGGTGTGGGTTGCGGTCGCCAAGGTCTTCGTTTCTGCGGATGAGGTCGTTGAATTCGTCTTGTGCGGCGGTAGTCGTCATGACGAAAGAGAAAAAAGAAGCGGGACCCGACGATGGGATGCCCGGCTGATATAGGTTCGTATGTGTCCGGTGACGCGTTGGGTAGGGTGCAAAAAAAGGATAGGGAGTCGTTGCGTTGCAAGGTTCACGGTGGTTCGGGTTTGGGGTCGGTGTCGTGTCGGTCTGTCTGGGATGATGGGTATTCAACTAGCGGGCAGGGCTTGGCACGTGGGCTTGCAGGGCTATTTTCGTGGGTTTCAGGCTTGCAATTGGCTGTGCGTGGTGAGGGCGCCTGGAGATTGGTGAGAGGAGGCCTCGACGACGACAACGTGCGTTACGTGGATAACGTGGTCGATGCGGTGCGGTGGGTAGGGATGCGCTTGGTTGTGCCTGTTTTAGGGCTTAGGGCTGATGCTGACCGGTACTACTCGTGATGCACTCGAGGCCGGTATAGGTTAGCATCCGTATTCGATTGGCGATGGGGCAAAGGCATGTCGGCCTCATGAAACAGCATGCTCGACTTCGAAACACGCTCGCCCGTCCTACACCGCCCAATCGAGGCGCTGCGGGTGGCGCCCCATGGCGTCCCAAGCCTGTCCGCTGATGAAACAGCATGCTGAACTATCTTGCTACACGCCTCGTTCGATACGTTGACATGTCGCAGCACCAAATTGCCGTGTCCTCGTCTTGCGTGTTTTAAGGCTACACGTCACGGCAACTGCGGATATCGGTCGATGCAACCGGTTTGGGCTGTTTCAATCTTCTCGAGGCAGCAGCTGTCATGCAACGCCTGGGTTTAAAGGGGCCGAGGGACGTCTTTGCTTTCGGTCTTGTTTGATATTCTCGTCCCGGCCATATCCCTGACCAGAGTCCCCTGGTCGCATGGCATGCGAAGGAATCCTTCCATGATCGCTTCTAGAAGCATCAAATCATGATGTGTATTTTTTTATTCTCCGATTGACTCCTGCATCGGCTGAGGCGCTTCCATTGCTTGCTTTGCGAATTCAGGGTCCAGCAGCCATGCATTGCAGCCTAAGATTGGGGGCGCTCATAGCTGAGGCACGTTAATGCTACAGTGCCACAGGGAGACGATGCTCCAGTTCATCGAATCTCCGTTCCAAAATAGAATGGCAATAACTGAGGCATGTTGATGCCAACCAAATAGCATTGACTTTCCCCTTTGAAGAATAGACGTTTGCATGGCCACGTGCTGTAAAATACGAGCCGTGGGACATGGCTCTTGCACATCCTGAAATGAAGCAGAAGCGTGCTCGGCCATCACTTCGGCTCAAACGAAGATCCTTACCCGCCTCGCGATGAACGTTAACAGACAGTCACGTCACTGTTATCACAATAAGCTCCAAGCGCCAGTGCCTTCACCGCTCTGCTGAGATTGGAACGGTCGCGACAAGACCTAGAACTTCGGAACGTTGAGCGTAATTCCTTCTTTGCCAGATTGACCTGATCGAAGCGCCCGGGATATCCAGAGTGTACCTAGGTCGTCTTCGTCCCACAATAGGTTCCAGATTCGGAGCGAAAGCTGTGCACAAGGTGAATAGGCATCATTACTACAGATCTCCACACCAACTCAATCTACACCCACAGCAGACATGAGACTTCACCACCTTCCCGCGTCCCTCATCCACTCAGCATATCGCAAAATATATCAACATGCGACGCACCCAACAGTGACAGTCACAAGCCGGTCTACAAGTCCGGAACGTTGAGCCGTATTTCCTTCTTCTCTCAGCTGATCTGGACATGGCGTCCTTGTCTGCTGGAACCGACCTAGCCAGCGCTCAAACGCTCGAGACTTTGCAAGGTTCCTTGGGACGACTAATCCTAGGGAGAAGAGGAAAACAAAGGATAATAACAAGTCGTCACAACAATGTCATGCAAAAGCCGTTCTCGTCCACAAAACTTAAAAACAGGTGTACAGTAAACGTCCGACACTATTGTGAAAGCACCTGCTGAGATCGTTCAGCGCACACACTAGCAAGGACCATTGAAGCACTCGTCAGACCATATCATTCGTAGAAACACCATGTCACAACATCACACCACAGCAACCTTGTACGCTTCGTAAACTTTAAGAGAGTTTATATTGATATAGAGAGGAACTCGCCGACTACCCTTCAAAACTCCCATCTCATCCTCGCACAAGCCCCATGGAAATCGTACACACAGAATCTCCCATCCCCCAAAGCGCCAAAAGCCATTATCCGTCTTCCATCCAACATGCACATGTAAAGCTTCCTCGTCTCAATATTACATAACATCGCCCCCTCGCCCCCATCCATGCCCATCCCGCAGGCTCAAGAGAAGAAAACCGGTTTGCTTTTCAGGCAAGTATAACAACGCAAAGAGAAAAACACACGAACACACACGTACACACATGTGAAATGGGACACACGGGTTTGAAAGTGAGATATCGTGCTTGCTACTGCAGTTACATTCCCCGTCACCAGCCCGGACATGATATATAAAAAAGAGAAAACAAGAGCTTTCGTGATTAGAAAGACACAAGAAGAGGAATAGAGAACAAGTGGTATGAAAGGGAAAAGCCGCAACAAAATAAAGACCATTTGACCGGGCGCCTGAGACATCAGTAGGCGTGCAACCGCAACCCGTAGCCACATCGATGCCGTCCCTTTCCAACATCCAACAGAACGTGTGAGTGTGAGGTGTGAGTATTATATTCTTTAAAAAGGGTGAGGCAGCGCTCCGATTTCTCTCCTGACTGATGAGATGCAGCAAGGGGTATGGTATTGCCAGGAGGTTGGGAGATCGCTGTCGTAGGTGTAGGTGTAGTTTGCCAATATTACAGGGAGTGATAGGGCGCACACGTTCGGATTGGCGTCGTTACATGGCGTCGTAGTTGTAAGAGTAAGGCTGACGGCACTTATGCCCAGATGCGCAGCTATTGACAAGTTAGCCGTCTGCGAAATGGAGTGTAGGAGGATAGAAACAAAGGCCGCGGTAGAGTGTATCCATATTGTTTTCAAACACCAATATGAAAACCAGGATTCTAGCGGAAAGTTCCACCGCATAGATCAGAAGAAGAGAGAGGAAATCACCACGTACCATCGAGTCCCATGAACCAGTGCACAGACTAAGCGCGTCGTTGCTGACACCGAGACAGCTGACGCGGTTGTCGTGTCCTTGCAATGTGCCAACGCGTTCGCCGCGAAGTACGTCCCAAACCTAGCTATTGTTAGCTTGTGAAATCGATAGACATAGCGCTGTATGCTTACCTTGCACTCAAAGTCGTCGTAACCTGCGAATAGCAGTCTTCCGGAAACGGAAAAGGCGACGGATGTAATACCACAAACTGGCTCGGGAATCTGTCGTCGCACAAATTAGTAATCCAAATATCTGATGTATCCAGGATGTCATTGTGCGTACCTGGTATGACGCAAGCTCGCGGTCGGCGCGGATGTCGAACAGACGGCAAGAGGCGTCGTCGGAACCGGTACCGAAGGCGTTACCGTTGGGGAAGAATTGGATAGCATTGATGTCGGAGTCGTGCGCGGCAAAGGTCTGCACGCACTTCTGCTGTCTGATGTCCCACAGTTTGGCGAAAGCGTCGCAAGCACCAGAGACGAATTGGTTGTGGTCGAGCGGGTTGATGCTCAAGCTCATTACGTCGCCGAGATGGTCGGCAAATTCATGTACCTTGGAGCCGGTCTCGAGATCCCATAGCACACAGGTCATGTCACCCGACGATGTGAGGATGCGCTTGTCGGAGATGAATCTGCAGCAACTGAGGTAGCCCGAGTGGCCAGACAGCTCGCGCGCCACGCGTGTTGGGCCTTCCCGAGCCGACAGGTTGTAGATGGAGCAGATGTTATCGAGACCACCGCAGGCCACGTAGTTGCCAGACGGCGAGTAGGCGCATGTCATGACCCAGGATGAGCGCAGGGGGATGGCGTGGACCTTGTTCGTCGTGTAAGCGTCCCAGATGATGAGCTTTCCGTCCTGCGAAGCGGAAACGAGATGTCTGCGGTCGGTCGACCAGTGCATGGCGTAGATCTTGGCAAGATGGCCCTTGAGGGTGCGCTTCGTCTTCATGGTGAGGCGCGGCAGAGCCTCGACACGGTCTCTGGCGACATCGCGAACTGCGCATCGTGTTAGCCGTCTTCGGGGTGTGGTTGCGGTGTGGCAGCCCGGCGGAAAAAGAACATACGGGTGGTGTCAGCCAGCTCATCCTTCTTGCGCTTTATCCTGTCCTTGAGCGCCTCAGCGTCGCGTCGGGCGAGCTGGATCTTTTGCTGGATGGTTTCTTGGTTCATATCGGCCATGTATCCAGGTGGTGCCGGGTGGTGATGTGCAGGTCGCGAGAGGCGCGAGACGGCGAGGCAGGCGAATCCAGGGGCCTCCTAGGGAGCGCGACAGCCGGGTGGACGAGGGAACGGCGGGAGAAGCGACCGACAAGCAGCAATGGCGAGAAAGGCGCGCAGAGCAGATGCAATTGCTTGCGCAACGAGAACAGCGGCAGGCAAACGGTCGTGGGGGCTTGAGGATGGAAGGGTTGCTTGCGAGTGCTCTGGAGATGAGTGAGGTACAGGAGCGGCCCGGGGTGAGCTTAGCTTGGTCTAGCCGAGCGCTGGAGATCAAGGGCCTTCCTCCGGCAGAGAATGCAACACGCACACACACGAAAAGCGCGTGACGTATACTTTTGGAATATTACAATGTAGATAGAATGCTAAACGCCTGGCATGCTTCGTGGCCACGTCAATGTCTGCACAATGGAACGCGACGCCGGCGAGTGCTGTCGTTGCTCCTCCTGACGAAGAAGGCGCGTTCTGCAATCTCCTGCAGCGCACCTCCTCCTTTGGGGCTGCCGAGCCACGGACGAATCAGCGGCGAGGAGCCCCAATGACCCGCGTCCGCCGCTATACCGCGAATGCCTCATGTCCTGGCCCGCCCAAAAGTCTATTCATCGTTCCATTATCGCTTCGAGAACCGTCGCCCACGCCACCAATACCGCTGTGCACCTCCATCATGGCTGCACAGCCCAGCACAACTGCACGCCTGCCCGTCGACACCCTCTTCACCCAGAGACTGCCTAAGATTGAGGTACTGTTCCAGCCTCCTTGGTTCCGAGTCAAAGCGCCAAGCGACGCTCAGACTTCCGTTCGCTGCATTGCTAATCCCGCGACTCAGCTTCATGCCCACTTGACCGGCAGCATCAGTCGCCAGTGCCTGCACGACATATGGCAGACAAAGAGGGCGCGCCATCCTGCCCTCGACCTGCAAGACCCTCTGGTAGCTATTCCCACGGGAAAGGTCGACTATGATATCAAAACGTAGGCCTAGCTTGATTTGATCTGCCTTGACTGTTTGCCGGAAATGTCCCTGTAACACCGGCGTGCCGTTGGGGAAGACGATCCAGCACTTTACCCTGGAAGCGAGGTCGTAGCCAATATTCTCCTGACAAATGGTGACTGGTCGCATCCCGCTTGTCGTCTCAAACCACCGGCCCACCAACGTGGAAGACATTAGCAGACGTCTGACAGCTACGTTAGGTTCTTCCCGCTGTTTTCCTCGTACATATACCGCCTTTGCAGCGATTTGCCCAGTGTCCAGTACGTGTAGACCAAACGTCTAAGGCGAGCTGTGGTTGATCGACTCAGGTATTCAACCAAAGTTGTGCTGCAAGACTTCCAAAATGACGGTGTCGTCTATGTTGAGCTTCGAACAACTCCAAGAGCAATTCCTGCAGAGAATGTAACCAAGGAAGATTACGTCAAGACCATCTTGGATATACTAAAGGCCCACAACGACGATGCTAACAACACGATGCGAGCTTTCCTCATACTGTCCATCGACCGCCGCAACACCGTCGCCGAGGCAGAAGAGGTGATTGATCTCGCCATCAAGTATCGGTCTGCCGGAGTCGTCGGTGTTGACCTCTGCGGCGACCCAGCGAAAGGTGACGTGCGCATTTTCGGTGACAGCTTCGCGCGAGCAAAGGCTGCAGGACTGAAGATCACGCTGCACTTTGCCGAGAGCGAGCCTTCGTCTTCAGACTTGGAGCTGCAGACGCTTCTATCATGGCAGCCCGACAGAATAGGTCACGTTATACATGTCAAAGAAGAGTTTCGAAAAACTATCGAACAGCATGATATCGGTGTTGAGCTGTGCCTCAGCTGTAATGTGCATGCTAAGATGATCACGGGTACTTACTCGGACCATCACTTTAGAATGTGGCGGCAATCCAGTGTTCCGGTCGCACTGAGCGTATGTGCTGCTCCGGAAAGTGTAACGTCCTGGTGATGACTGACGCATTGCAGACTGACGATGTTGGTGTTTTTTGCAGTCCTCTCTCGCAAGAGTACTATCTTGCAGCGCAGCACTTTGACTTGAGCCGTAACGACATCAGATCACTTTGCGAGCGCGCAATCGATTCAATATTTACCGGTCCGGATGAACATGCCCGTCTCAAGCAGATCTACGCGACTTGGGACGGATGGGTGTTGTGAATCAACGCTGAAGCGACGAACAGTCACCTTGAGATTTCTGTCCAGTCAGAATGACTCCAATATGACGGAAAGTATCCTGCCATGTCCTATTCTAGAGTCATCGTTGAGTACAAGATCTTGCATTACAGCTTCCTTCCCTCCATCTTACAATTTCTCTTTTATAGATATCATTACGCAGACACCGATCGATCAATGTCAATCTACACAGCTTAGCTGCATAACGAATCTTACACAGCCCACCCACATCTACTGCTCTTTTCCCACTCACCGTTCCATATTTCCAGTGCCACCAAGAACGCCCGGAGCTTCAGCATGTCTGTGACTCGATTCGCCAGCTCCATTCTTACGATCTTTCTCATCATTTCTCTAATCCCAGGGAGCACCGCCCAAACTTCCTCGCGAGTGGCCTCCGCGGCCTCTCAAACTAGCTCGCAGGCCTCCTCTCAATTTGCTTCCCCTAGTTCTTCTCAATCTCCTTCACAAGCGGTTTCTTAGACGTCCTCAGAACCCCTGTCTCTCGGCTTGAGGTATGACGATTCATGCGGACCCGAGTTTAGAGACATGATATCGTGGGCGATCGACGGTGCTATACAGATGGCTATAGACACTGTTAAAGACACGATAGATCACGAACATGATCCTGCGTTCTGGGAACTATATGGTCCCCGGGCAGTAGAAAATCTGACTTCAATCCGTAACGCATTCGAACAAATTGCTCATGGCCCGTGGACTATCGAGGCCTCATGCAACATCGACGATACAGATCCAGCATGCAGCGATCCATTCATGTACGGAGGCATTGGGGATATGATACCGGAAGGACAAGCAGTGAAACGTGATGAAAGCCAGACCTTCTCAGCGAAACTTACGTTTTGTCGAGATTTCTTTACTTTGCCACCATTAGACCACCGCATCCAGCTGGGCGTCAGTAGCGATGGTCCATATCTTGGCACTCGATACGATTTGGGGTATTACCATAACAACCAAGGCAAGTCGTTCAGTGAGGCCAGCGATACATATGTGCTAACGAATCAGCCACTACCCTTCTCCGCTCGCTGTTCCGCTACTTACAGGTAACAGAAGGCCTCAACCGGCCGATTCCGGACCTCTGGGTCCTTTTACGGCAGATCGCTGGAGATACAACGTGGTCAGCATGTTACGGTATATATTGTGCCAAGGTACTGGCTCGTCTCAACGATCCTTCCAATGACTGGGCGTCAGTAAATGGTATGTTCAATGCTCAGCGCTGTGATGATTCCGCCGCCCTAACCATTGTAGCGGACAACTACGCTCTATGTGCACTTTCGAATTATGTCGCGCCGCGTATTAGGGGTAACTTCACGTTTCTACCGGAGGTGAAGGATTATCTGAATACATCGAAAGCATTTGCTGTGTCCCAAGGTGCAGCAAACGATGCATCAGCCGTCGTGTACGACCTCTACGGTAAACCTACATTTTCTCAGACCTACTACAACGCAACTCGATTACAGAGTTCCACTGGGACTTTCGATCCCAATAACATTCTAGACATCGATCGGAAAGCAGACATATCCCACACTCCATTCCTTAAAGATATAGACACCTATCCTTCGACATATAGCAGCGAACTGGCTCGGTGGGAGAGCGAGTTCACTCCGGCATTTCAAGACTCGCTCATCGACATCGATGCAACGTACGACCGTACCTGTTTCGGCGACACTACCAGTTCACATCCCGAAGCCAACTACTTTGACGGATACGAAGCTCTCGATTTTGCCAGAACCTTTTGCGAAGACATCGTGGCTCACCGCGAAGAAGGAAATGACCCGCCATCAACTGTACGCGCTGCGCTATGGACGAGGAACTTTACTAGACAGTACACACTGACGAAGGCTAATCCTGATATGCATTTAGGTTTCGCCGTGACTGGTGATCCTGCTTCCTACATCGAATCTCGAAGCACAGACTGGCTATTCGAGGGGCCTGACATATCCGCGAACGTTGACCACTGTGTTTTAACCTATAAAGATATAATCAGCCATGTAAGTGAGATGTTATAGACTGACCACTCTTCGCTTTTCGAAAGGTACGAGCGTTGCTAACGTACGAAGAGTGCGATACCGACTCGACTAAAAGAAAAGGCGGCCCTCTCAAACTAAACGATATAATCTACGGCGTCCACACCATTCCAGACAATCGAGAAAGCAGTGGCCCCTGGATAACAGACTATGTGTCTCTAGGTGAACTAGAATGCGCAGACTACAACATTACGAGCTACTGGCGTGTAGCTTCTTTCAACGAGAAATCGCGGGTGGAGAGTCATAGCCTTCTTCCCCCAACCATCGCCATCGCCGATGTAGATCGATTGGGCAAGCTGTGTACGTGTTGGTACTCTGAGCATCCTTTCACTGCGGATATGTTCTGCAAAGACCCTGCGGGCTCGTGTGAGGATTTGGCGAGGAATGATAAGAGGGTGGCGGCTGTTTGGAAGGACTTTGGTTGTTGATGGTGAATGCTGGAGTATATGTAGGGTAGATTGCTAAATTTGACTAGTGTTTTGTAGTAGGGTGAAATGCTAGACCTGTATCATATCACTCTCCCTAGCCTTTTTGCCATGCTTCATTATCGAACAAAGTGGTCGCCGCAGCGGTCGCGGTGCGCCTAGGTCACGCTGACTTGAATGATCTAAAGGAGATGACGCTTTCTTGCTAGTCCGCTTGAAGTATAAGCTTGCTGCCATGTTACATCTGCGCTACGCTGGCGCCGTGCCCATTCCGTTACGTCTTCTACCCTGCGGAAACGGAAACAGGACCATGCCCGGAAGGACTGCAAACACCACGTTCGTTGTGCAAGTGAAACAAAGCCAGCTCATAATGAGCCCTTGACGGCCCTTTTTTCGCCGTTCATAACTTTGCAGTAAATAGTAGCAACACATGCGTGCAAGAATCTACTGAAATGGAAATATCGTGTCAAGGCATCCTTATAACAGACTTATTGATACCTAGCTATTCGTCTCCCTCAACGAAGTGGTTGCCCTTCCTGAAGGCGCCTTTGCACTGCTTTCACGAAGTTCCAAATCCTAACGCAGCCGAATACCAACTCAAAGCTGAAGGCCATCTTGACGCCATTTTGATAGGTCCATACAACGAGTGTGTCCTGCTGTTTATCAAAGTCGAAATGTTTGGAGATGATATTGTGGAAAAGTGCTCGTGTCGGGACCTTCTCGTCCTTAACTATGATGATCGCATTGTGGTCTGTCACAACTCCGTAGCAGATGCCAGTGCCATGATCAAACCAGTCATTATTCACAAGCTCAAACACCTTGAGACGGATTCTTTCACTCTCATCTGGCGCAGAAATGGGTGTCGTGAATTGCGGTGGTGTGCGGACACTCTCAAAACCCGCCGATCGCAGATCTGGTACGCCATTCAGCTCTCGATCGGTGTTGGTGATGTAGATGTATATTGTTGGTGAACTATCGAAGATCTATAGAGGTGGTAGTGCGAAGTCAGCACATGTCGTACATACAATGCGTACAATCATAACTTACCTGTGTCTCGCTTTGGAGTGCAAGGATCTTTACCAATTCGGCATGCTGTGACCATTTCCGGGAGTACCATAAAAAGAGGCGATAAGCCGTTTGGGCGCGGAGTGCGGGCGGCACTTGCTCCAGGGAAGACATTGGCATGTTGCGAAAATGCCGTGTGAAGTAATCGCGATTTACAGTAGTCTGTTCCCGTAAGACGCGTTGCTTCTCGTTGGCCTTTTCTGAATCTATAGCGCGCGGAAGACAATGCACGCACTCGTGTATATCAGGGACATGTTGGGCAGAATCGTAGTAACACGCAATATGCTGCCAAGTATCGCACTTCTCACACCAGACTGTGTCACCATCATCATCTGCGTAAGTACAGATGCATCTTATCGTTGATGGTGATGGCTCTTCTTCCTCTGGGGAGATCCTTCTTGTTGAACTCAAGGTAAGATGCCTTTCCAAGCCGATATTGCCGTCGAAATCTGGCGATGATGGCGGACGAGGTGCCCCCGGATCCAGGTTTGGTTCAGGACCCGGTAAATATGGATTGTGACCATCAGGAAATTCGATCGACACTATCGGATTAATAGACCCGGGGGAAGATAATCCATCGGGGAATTCGATTGGAGTGCTTGGGGTCCAAGTTGAAAGGCTTGTAGTGTTTGAACCGTTAGGCACTGGATTCATTGGATCGAAAGACTGGCTCGTCGAAGCAGCCGACGCAGGCCTCAAGACACGATGCCCGACATTTTGATCGACCTTCGATTCATTGTATTTCCGGTAAAAATGAAGGTGTTCATTCATCAGTGAAGAGGCAGATGGTTGAGGGAATGGTGTGGACAGGGAGTGAGAATCCATGGATAGGGGGCGTACTATATGGGCTGGCGAACGTTGTCGCGGGTCATTGGATATGTGATCAATATCTTGGAATTGAGGTGGTTGCTGACCAGGTGAACTCGGTCTTGTATCATGCGCAAGAGATGGGGGCTGTAACGTTGGAATGGTTTCAGGCAAGAGCCCTGTTGGTTGCGAGCTCGTTAGCTCATCATGTGTGTATTGAGGCACTCTTGGGTTTGAATACGAGGCTTGCTGCTGTTCCTGTGTTCCACGTTGCTGAGCTTGTTGTTGTGCCTTTTGCTGTGCTTGTAGCTGTATATATGCTCGCTGCGAGACCATGCTGTCTTGGGAAATGTTGCTGGGTCGTCGTCTCATAATGAACCGAGAGAAGCGGTTTTGGTGCTCGTCTTTAGGAGGTACGGGTGATGCTTGTTCTGATTGCACGCTACGGTCGCTTGGATTGTTCGAGAAGTTGGGCGGCAGGCTCTGGCGAGGGTAGTGCGCGAAGTTGGCGTACTGCGACGTGGGTACAGAGACGATCTCTTTGGGCTGCTGTGCTTGTGCTTGCAATAGTACATGTGACTGTTGCACTATCAACGTCTTCGATATATACATGATCATCGCCTCGATCGTGGAAATGTATACGTCGTGTGTTCCTGAAATCTCAAAGGTCTATGGAGGTGGAGGCACGAAGTCAGCGTTTATCGCACACGTATATTGTACAGTCATGAATTACCTCTGTCTCGAACTTGAGGGCTCGGTGCATGGACAAGACTTCGGTTTTCTCAGGGTACAGCAGGCGGTACTGAGTGAAGTACTGAAAGGCCAGCTGACCGCGCTCTTCTGGCGGTTTGCCCTGCTGCCAGCCTTCTGGAATCTTGCCCTGCTGCTGCTGGACACGATAGTGCTGTATGAAGTGATCGAGTCCCAAAGCAGCCTGGTTCTGTTTCAATGTCTCCGGAGAACTTTTCGACCGGCGTTGAGCTTGAGAGTGCGCATCAAGGCCACCTAGAGGATTTGACGTTGCCGCATGGCTGCTTTGTCCTCGTAAAAGCGTTCCTTGCCGACGCCTGATGCTCTTTGATACGACTTTAGACCGCGATTTGTGGAAGTCTCTGATATGTTTTCTCAAATTTTGTTGAGAGGCGAAAGGCAGACTATACTTGCAACCGGAGTGCGTGCAGAATAGCGCCGGTTTGTGCGTCGTTTCGTGTTGTGTACGAAGATCATCAGTTGGAAACCCTGCCAACATGCCTGTACATCCAGGAAAGCGACACACGAAGGCATATGAACAATTCGATGTTTTGAATGTGCTGAGTTGTTCTTGTGTGAGCCCAGGAACCGTTACTGCTGAGAGCAGATAATCGATTTGCATAGCGTATTCATGCTGAACGACGCTGAGAGGCGTGGGATCTAGAGGTTCTCCTAACGCACATACGTTAGCCATCCGTCAGTCTTGCTACAAAGACAGCTTACGGTAGTCGGCAGGATTTTCGAAGTGCATTTGTTTGGCATGGCGGTATATGACATAAGCACAAAGAAATTTGTAATGATGTGCATAGCGCTCAAGGTATTGCAAACGAGGTTCGAGAGTTTGCGCGGCGGGAATGTCTATTTGTAAGTCGTCTGTCGGATCTAGATATCGTGTATACTGGTGGGAACAGATGAAGAAGAAGCTCGCCAGGAAAGCTTCCAATTGCCGGTCTGCGGAACGTGAGACTTCTACTGCGAAGGCGAGAAAATGGTCAAGCCAATGCTCGTAAACATATGGTTGAAGAGAGTACAAACATCTTCCGACATCGACTGCTTTTTGCATGGCCGAAATGCTAGGTTTGGAAAGGTTGAGGCTAAAAGTTAGGTAGTTCAGACACGTGATGGTAGTACAGCTCTCCGCATCCCGTAGCGAAATGAAGTTACTTTTCGTGAGGTACCTTGATGCGGTCAGCTACTCCTCCCCGCAACACATGCAAAAGCTTACTCTTGGACAGTGAAATGGACGAAAGAAATCTGCCCATTGTCATCCGTCTGTATCAGGGGTTTGCAGAGGTCCAGGATGTTTGGGGGAAGTTTTGATCTCTCCGATAATGAGACGGCTCCTGAGGCAAAGACGATTGCATCCTGAAGTTCTACGACCCTCAGTGGCCGTCTCGAGCACAACATCCACTTCAGTATGTTGATGGCCCGCTCTCGCGATTGGACTGGGTAAAGCATGATTCTGTGTACAATGCGAGAGTAGCTACGCATGATCAGTATGAAGCCTCAATGCAAGACATATAAACTACTCACAAGTCATGTAAGCTATGCGGCATATTGGCTACTGCGTTTTCCAAGTCATCAAGATTGTATGCGTCAAACTCTAGTTGTGCTAACACTAGCCGCACCCAGAGGAACATTCCTGGGGATAGTCAGCACATCGCCCGAGACTCAGGTACGTATCATGTGATCTCTTCGCACTCTGCCTGGGCTATCCTATACAACATAATCGTCGGCACATTGCCATTCCTAAAGGATAGGGAAGCAGACATACCCTGGGACTTTAACACTACGTTTATTTTCACAGCATCGAGAACGTTGTCGACACCAACAAGGTTCGAAAACCTATCCCGGATGGTTTCTAGGCACTTGGTAGCGTATCGTGTGATGTCGGCTGTCAGCGCATCGCTTTCTTGGTCTAGTGCTACTGTTGGCCTTTTTGATAACTTCCCAACCAACTCCAGAATGTCCCGACTGACAATAAGAATCTTTGTCGGCGCACAAGCCTGCATTGGGTTCTCGAGCTGTAGTATTGAGACAAGGACGTCCTTTACGGGGGTGAGATCGCATGGTTTTCCATGTATATCGTATCTGATGCACTCATCAATGCCATCAATCAGAATTCGTGGCATCACTAGCTGTGGGAGTAGATTCGAAAGAAGTTCTTGGAGACTTCGAATAGAGAGTGGACGGTTCTCAGCAACGAACTCCTCGTACACATAAGTAGCAAGATCAGAGCGTTGCCGAAGGATTTGGGAAACCAAGGTAGCGAGGATAAAAACCACGGGGTCAGGGTATGTGCTGCTGACGATGTAGCTGTAAAAGCAGAACAAAACTGTCGACTGTCGAGGTGCACGGAGGAATTGCACTATCTTCGCACATAGTGTGCTTTTGCCTTGATGAGTTGTTAACTTCGCCTCAATATATATACTTAGGTTTCTTAAGGCGACTCACCAGACCCAGGCTTGCCTTTCAGCCATAAAATCGGTCCACCCCGTCCATTCTGAAGCCACTGTCTCATACGTTGGTGTTTCAGAAGCCAGTCAGTTGTACCGTCGCAGCAGTCATTGATGAGCCTGTGAAGCAGATTATCTTGGTAAGCCTGACCACAATGTGGAACTGTCTCGAGACCCAGCCAAGCAAGCGCTGCTGTAAGCTGTGCTGTTGATCGGTCCTTCTCGGTCTTTGCTACCGTCTGAAGTGCTTCTCTGCGCCATTGCATAGTCTCCGATACGAGGTATGCATTTGCTTCTTGGCCAACCAACGTGGCGTGCTTTGCGAGACTATCCAGGATGCAGTTGAACCTGCTTCCAAATTGGCCCCAGGACGATTTAAAGAAACAGATCCAGCCTAAAGCTAGTCAGAGGAGTGAAGCGCGTGTACCATAGACAAGGGAGATTACCATTGCGCCTAAATAGCTTATATGCATGCTCGTGGAACGTTAAGATATCACTGTAGACGACTGCAAGTGCTTGCTGAAAGTCAGGCTTATCTTGCAAAGCGGCTCCTAGCCGATCGAATCGAGGTAGCATCGCTGCGATCTGACTGTATGCTGCTAAAAGCTTTTCAAAAGCGCTGATATGGTCCGTAGCGAGCTAGACCTTGTGAGTAACATCGCGGACGTGGACGGCGAAGGGCTCTAACCTGCATCGTCAATTTGATGGGTGCCTTCAAGAAATCAACTATCAACACAATCCATGCTAGAAAGCTTGATGTCACAACTCACCCATATCCAGCTCAAGAAAGGTGTGCCGTTGCAGAGCACCTCGATAACTTTGGAGTATGCTTCAAGGCCATTCAAAAACGGCTCTAAGCGCTTCATGTTCCGCATGCACTGTCGCGCAGCAAGCTGACGCTCAACCTCTTTCGCAGCATCGCGTACATCGCGCAGTGTGGTGTTGCTGAACTCACGATCATCAGTGCATGAGTACCGCTGTACCGTCTTTTCGAAGCTATCGAAGCTCTCTTGGAAAGTTCTCCGCGCCTGGGGCGTGAGTGTAGGCCTCGAGGTGGTGGGCAGGCTGGGTTTCGGGGCCCCGCACAAACGCGTTCCGGCCATCGATCGCGACGCGTGAACACAGTGACAATAGAGCGAGAAATTGTGGTCAACTACACAACAAAGGAGCACGCTGATAGAAGATGTGCGCGCATCACAGCACATATCAGGCGCATCTCCCGGCGACTCGCGAGGCAGAGCCGCTGCGCATGATGCGCAGCTAATGCGTGCTGCAGCTGCCAGCACAGCCGCCACAATGGCCACACTCAGCCTTCCTCGTCGCAACGACATTCGCTTCCTGCAGGCATGTTTAAATCCTCATAGTATACTCGCCTCATCGTTTTTCCTGTCACATGATGGGCCCATCGACTGCATCATACTCGCCCAGATACACAACTACAGTACCTAGGCTGATAACGGCAGCCCTCCTACAACGGCACAGCCCCCCAACCTAGGCGAGACATCATGTCGCACGATGATTTGGAGCGACGGGCTCCAAAACGGCGTCGGCTCAGTAACTATTCCTCTACCTCTAGAATCGAAGGCTACCAGCATGGTCACGATCCACATGGGTGTAGCTTACCAGGCACCTGGAGACCTCCAGCATCAGTAGCAGACAGCGTTTCAGTCCAATATGAACGATTCGACTATTCGAGAGAAACACCCATCGTATACCATGACAACTCAACCGATCTGCAATACCAGTGCATTTCTTTGCATGCTTCGGCATTAACCCAACCATTGACGCGCACTACGAAGGCATCGTCACCAAGTTATTCGAGGAATGATGAGCATTTGCTCAATCCAGATGCACATCCCGGACAGTCCCTAGCAGCGATACTGAATCCAGAAATCACTGGCGCACCTATGCCAGATGTTACTGTCACCGATGGCGAAGAGAGTACGGTTGTATGCTTTGGTATGGTAAGTCAAATGTCAATCTCTCGTGTTCTCTAACGCTGACTTTGAGATAGATCAAGGATTTGCATGCCGAGGTACAATCATCTCACGTCTCAGACGCTCTTACTGGCTGCGTATCTATGGGCTTTTCACCACCCAACCAATTAATCTATAGAGAGGCTTGTATTGGGCACTTCGACGACAGAAGCGCGGAAATACTTTGTGTTATCTGTGAAGATCCTCTGGTTGAGTTGCAGTTAATGCTGACACGCGTAAAGCGTCCTCATCGGCGAGGGAGTCTACCATCAATATCAGCTATCCTGTATGGCCCCAAATGGCTTTCCGAGGATATAGGTGCTTTTTGTCAGGACTCTGAGATCTATTTGCAGGATCCCCTGGGCTGTGATCGAGACGTACTATACTGCAACCCTCACCGAATTTCCTCAGACCAGGGTGTTTGCTGTACAACGTTCGAGCTAGAGAGAGCCAGTACTGACGTAGTCGTGACAAATATACATATTGCAGATGCACTGGATGTTCTCAGTGCCCCGAGAACGCTAGGTGAAGTGGAAACACCCCGCTGGTTGAAGACCAAACTGTTGCTGTAAGTTATGATGTCGCATCGTACGACGCATCTTGTTAACGCAGATCAGGCATCAGCGACAGGCCTTGTTCTTCATGATCAAGCGGGAGATGGGATGGGCTCTCGAAGATGGATCTTGTGATGTGTGGACGAAGCTCACTCGCGACACATCTGCTTTGTAAGAGCGGTCGCCAGTACAGTAGGATCTGGCTGACAGTATGCAAACAGATATCGCAACAATATCACTGGTGATGTGCGAACAGACCAGCCTTGTTCCTTCAAGGGTGGCATACTGGCGGATACGATGGGGCTAGGGAAGTCTCTCAGCATGATTGCGTTACTCGCACATGGCATTGACTCATTGAACGAGGGGGGGATGTTTACCAGACCAACTTTTACAAGTCATCGCGATGTCGATACGACGTTACTTGTTGTCCCACCATCTCGTAAGTCATCACAGAATACATGTTAATCTCAAGCACACTAACAGCAGAAGTTTTGCAAACGTGGGAAGAACAACTACAGCAGTAAGTCGAATTGCAGCGAGAACGACCAAATGGCTGATCTTTCAGACATTCATGCGATGTGACTTTGCTGAGAATAAGACGACATCATGGTCTCAGCCGTATCACGACTATCGAGGAAGCTCGTTCCCACCGTTTGGTCTTGACAACTTATCAAACAGTGGAAACGGAGTGGAGGGAACATTCGTCTTCAGCATCGTCACCTCTCTTCTCCATCAATTGGCGGCGCATCATTCTAGATGAAGGTACGTAGAAAAGCGCCCAAGAAAGCTACATGAATCGCCACTAAGAAACGCAGCACACTACATCAGCAACCACCAAAGCAATACATGCAAAGCTATATGTAGTCTTGAGGCTCAGGCGCGTTGGGCTGTGACTGGCACGCCGCTGCAAAATAGGCTCGGAGACGTTGCGACGTTATGCCAATTTCTACGTGTTTATCCATACGACGATCGAGAGACATTCAACAAAGACATTATCGACCCTTGGAAGGCCGGTGATAACAACACTGCTATCTCTCGGCTGAAGCGGCTTCTTCAGTGTATTCTCCTGCGGCGCAGCAAGGGATCTGTTCAGTTGCCGGAAAGGACCGACCTGAGACATACGCTGCAGCTCAGCGAAGAAGAGCGGCAGCATTACGCAATAGCAGAGAACAACGTTGCGAGATCGATCGATGCGGTGCTAGGCGCAAACACCAACACGGCTTTCAACGTCACTAGTATCATTCAACAGATCAACGAGCTTCGCCTGATCTGTGATCTCGGCATCTATCGCAAACCACCAAAGCCAGTTTTATTGGCCGAAAACAACACTTGGAATACACGTGTAGCTCAGAGAGCTTTGAACGCTCTCACAGCGACGAGTGGTATATGTTGCAAAAGTTGCGGCGAGATACAGGATGGTACAAGATACGACAACAGCTTCGGTACAAACCTTTACACAACCCGACTTTGGCTATTCTCCTGCTTCAGCATCGCCTGTGAGAGTTGCATGGCACAGAATCCGTCGACTCGCTGTAGCTGCGTGCGTCAATGTCCTGTTGCTCTTGTCACACATGCGCCTGGGACGATGGATTCGGGAGCCTCATCTCCTGTCGAGTGGCCTTCTGACTCAGAAGAAGTCTTACCCACCAAGGTCAACGCACTCGTCGATGATCTGCTCAAACAAACGCCAGGAACTAAAAGGTTAGTTCCTCTATCAATCATCCTAAACCCGGCTTGCAGCACCTGACCGGCCTTGAATCACATCGCATGCTGACTTACCCTGTAGCATCGTCTTCACATTCTGGTCGTCAACGCTGGACCTCATCGAGAAAGGATTGTCGAGGGCTTCAATCACTTTTACACGCTACGACGGTAACACGACGCCCACCAATCGGTCTGTAGCATTGAATAACTTTCGTCGAAATCCAAACATCTCCATCATCCTCATGACCATTTCATGTGCTGCTGTCGGACTGAACATTACTGCTGCAACACGCGCCTACATCATGGAGCCTCAGTGGAATCCTACGGTTGAAGAGCAGGCATTAGCGCGCGTGCACCGTATGGGTCAGACGAAAGAGGTGACCACAATTCGTTACGTCATGGCTGACACTTTCGAAGAGGTACGTTAGCGATTTTGAAGTAGTTGAGGCTATTCGCTAACACCAAGTAGAGGGTCATAGAAACGCAGCAGCGAAAAAGGGAGCTTGCGGAGCTGTTGCTATCGACTGAGCCACATGCAGAATCGGAACATAGCCTTGATCGACTACGCGTAAGTCACACAAACTTGGAGAAGCGGAGACAGCACTGACACATGCCAAGTATTTCCGGTCTTTGCTTAAATGATCGTTCGATGAATCAATCTAGGTGGCAGCGAATCTAGCAAAACTTTCTCCACCCGCGTATATCGTGTTCGTGTTGTGCCAAAGCTGTTCCAACTGTACCGATTAGTAAGGGGATGCTTTCATGACCGGCATGAAAGAATGAGGGCTAGTTTTTTGGGCGACACTTTGACTTTCTTTTTCACGATCGCAGTGTGTGTCGCGTGCCGTGAATCCCTCCCCCAATGTCGCGCGTTTTAGCGTGTCGCGCTAATGAGTACGTTGTCAGCCGCATCCATGGATCTACCATCTGCCCCTCCATCCCTCTCCACATTAGCCAGCATCATCACTTTCATACATGATGGGCACCCATCTGATCGCTGGCAGCGCAATGACCAGCGCAAAACAACAGCCAAGCAACAGTCAGACCTAAAGACGACATGCTTCTCTTCTTGGCTGCGTGATGCCTGCGCCTCGATGGCCGAAGCCGTGGCTTCTCGCCTAGCGTTCAAGCATGGCTTGGGGCTGATGTGCGGAACCTGCCATGCTTGCTGCGAAAGCGCTCTAGGTCCTCCAAACCCCATGCGTGCGAGTGGTAGAATCGGGCTATGGCGTCTATCTATGGCTTCGTTCAACCAGTAGAGGTCATCAAGGCTGTCGCGCGATCGATTATAGGCTTGTTTTTCGTTCTCAGCTTAAGAGGCTGTTCACTCCAGTTCTGTCGAACGAGAGAGATTGCAATTACAAGAAGCTGCCATTCACCCTCTGCTGATCAATCGTCTCCTGTTCATCTCTTTATATACTGTATTTCCGCATATTCTTTAGTAATCACGTTGGTGCTAGAGAAGACAATTCCTGCGCAAAAGAAATCCTTCAGCTATGGCTTTTGGCTTTTCTGTGGGCGACTTTGTCATGCTTGCGGAGAAGGCTTTTCAGGCAAGCAGTTCCAGTTGTTTATCAAAGTATCATATCACTGATTCGACTATATCTAGATATACAACCAATTTAAAGATGCTCCTAGCGACTACGATAACCTTAAACGACATGTACAACAACTGAGCGCCGCGACAGAAGACACAGCAGCCTGGCTTGTAAAAGCTGAGAAAGATGAAGAGATTCCCCAAAGCCGCCTGAGATTGAATTCGTTGAAATCGATGCATGGTGTATGCAACTGTACTCTGGATGAGGTTGTAGATTTTCTCCACAACCACATAAACGTCAAGGCAGCGCATGGCGCACTAAAATATATCGCAAAACTTAGATTCATCTCAGATGATGCAGAAAAACTCGCGAAGAAGTTACAGAGCGATGCTTCCCTCTTGAACCTGCGGCTGTCAAGTATCCAGTGGTAAGCATGAGAGCAACATCATGAAAGGATTAATCTGACGTATGTGCAGCTTATCGGTAATGGAGATTAAGACTGGGCTGAAGGTTCTTACAGAGGAGTACCGAAGAGGCAAACGAGAACCGAGCGTCATCTCGCGCGCTATCACTGACCATCAGCCTGCGGAGAAGGCAGAGATGTTTGAACAGATTAGTCAGGACCTGTTAGACAAGGAGGTACACCCCGAGTGTATCAATCTCAACAAGCCTTACTTGGACGAATGGCTGTCAAAAGTCATTGAAGAGGGCGGCTTAGATGAAGAGGACCCACCAACATCCCAGCAGCTAGAAGTGCCACCCACCACCACAATAAAGGTTATGAATCCATCCGCAGAACCGCTTACTAGTTCTCCCATCGATATGAATGCCGCTGAACATAGTGGCTGTTCATTCACGTCCCCAGAGACTCAGCCTGCTATGGTTGACGACGCAAAAATCGCTCCGACCTTTCCCAATGACAACAAAGAACCTTATGAAGACCTGGAAAAGGAGCCCGTTGTCCTCGACGATAGTATAACTGTACGGAACGGAGGTAGCGTGCGAGAAGAGCCACGCCCTCGCTCCAATAGCACTACCTCAAGTGCTAGTAAGCCGGACGACTGGCATCCTTACGACCGGCCTGAGCCGACATATGTCCGGAACAAACTACAGCCTCTCTTGATCGCCGAACCAACACCAGATCCGTTGTCTGCAGATTCTATGCACGCTGTCATGCGAGCTTTCCATCAAGCTGACTACCGCGACGAAGGTTTCCTTACGCGACATACGGTACTGCTCCATTTGCGGGACGTATTGAAGGATGCTCCATGGATAACCTACTCAGATGACTTCGAAAGCATGGTCCTGCGATTTGATGTTAACCACGATGGATACTTTGGTAAGAACGAGTTCCTGTCTCTCATCCAGAACTTGATGAGATATACATCGCAAGCAAGAGAAACTCGGATCGCAAACGACTTCGCGGCTGTGGTAGGCCAAGCAAGAGCCGACTGGGTAGACAGAAGAGCAGCGGCGCCCTTACCTTTTCTACATTGGGGTTTCGCAAAAGCGCCTGGAGGTAAAGAAGGTTACTTCGATACAATCCTTCAAAATCCTGTCAAGGATGCGCCGTATGATACATGTCTATCGGCCTTCAGCCATCTCGCATGGGAGGCGAAAGAGTGCGTTAGCAGGATCAGCGATTTCGAGACAGAGTGGATCGGCAAGGTGCCGAAGACTTTACAAGATGAGTATCTCGTTCCACTTCGGAGAGTCCAGCGGGTCGCAATAGCTTTCACCCTTCTCGAGAATAAGTCGTCACCTCACGAACGCTCCGACCTGGATAAGTTTCTTGACTGCTCTCGTCTTTCTGCTTATTTACATGACGTAACAGACGACCCGGAAATTGATCGAACGTCGTCTCTCCTTGTTGCGGCCAAAGGCATATGCAAAATCATCCTTGACAACGTTCTCGGCTTTACATTCACGCTGAAAAGCGCGGAGAAGCTAAGAACATCGAATTACAATAATTTCGGCGAGTTCAAATCTTGGTGGGATCGCAATCGAATGACTTGGCGATCGAACAAGATCGTTATTGAGTCGGCAAAATGGAACGTTGTCGAGGATGCTGTCAACCAATACAGTAAGGCGGGGATCAATAAACTTGTCGTCATCCGAGCCCACAAATTCATAACGATATTCAGAAGACGCGAAATCGAGAAAGCAATGCGGCGAAAGCAGAGGTTCACTGAAGAGACGCCATGGGAAGGTCACATCGAACAAGCGGCCATATCCGGTTTGAACCAAAACTGGATCAGCAAGACGATTGGTATGTGGTACGCTCATGTTGCAGGCACAAAAGCTCATCTCGCAGGCCCCAGCAAGATCTTCTTGAAGATCTCCATCTACGATGATCAAACGTTGTATCATGCGAATCGAGAAATGTTCACTATACCTCAGAAGCGTGCAGCGGAGCACAGTTGGCGTTTGGGGCCGGAATCGAATATGTACGTTATGACATCCTTACATCTTCAGCACATTCTGACACAGTTGCAGACGACTACTACCCGCATCCTGTGTTGAGGTCTCTGTGTTGACCTTAGACCTCAAAAGACCAGGTGGAAGAGCAGATGGGACGCTCATGTACAGATCTGGCGCAATTACGATATCTCGCTTAAACTTCATGGCTAGGACTGCGGATGTTGGTGTTCGCCGCATCACCGGCACATTATATCCAGTCCAAGGTTCCTTTTCCGATATCGACTACGAGAAGAAGTCGGCGTGTGCTTTTGATATCGAAATACACATGAAGGACAGTCCTGAATTCATGGAGAGAATCAACTCGCTCGAGGCGAAAGATTGGCGCCCCCTGCTGCTCGAGGATCTACCGGGTGATACTGATCCTAAGGAGTATCACGTGTATACTGATCCTGAGGAGTATCACATGTATATTGACGCTTATCGTGACAAGGTTTTGAAGAAGCGTATAGACAGCGTTGGCAACGGGACGTAACACGGTACGATTGAGGCTATCGTGAGGTACGTACGAGCCGTACCCGTAGTACAGCCGATCTATCTGAAGTTACCCGACTGCATCTCATCTCTTCATCATAATATTACAATTACCACCTACTGCACTCTAAATCTCACGAATAATCCAACTTGACAAGACACACTTGACCGCGTGTTTCGACACCTCACGAACTTTGATGTGACATCCGCTTCACCAACACCAATAAAACCACTCTTGACGCTCCACCAAATAACATCAACAACCCCAACTCACTATCAGCCTTAAATAACATCAACGACCCGCAAGCACATGTAGGACGACAAGATCAGAAGCCAATCACGTAGAAAACCAAAACAGGACATATCTCAACATCGTTAAAAAGTTTATAATTTAAAAAGGGACAAACAGCGAGGGTATTGAATATGATACATCGTAACAGAGAAGAAGAAGACGAAGATGCCGGCGCCAAAGTGCTCCAGAAAGAAAAAAGAGTGCTAACAAAGACATCACGACAAGAACGAGGACAGTAACAAGATAGGTTTGTTGAAACAAACACAACCCTACCTCAACTGCCCTTGCACATCATCAACAGTCCTCTTGAGCACATCTTCAATCTTCCACCTTGGCGCCTTGACCTCCTCCTTCTCACCCTTCTTCTTCTCAACCACCATGCCATTGCCCACCTCCTCAGGCTCCAGTCCACCCGCCACACCACTCGAAAACTTGAGTTGCAGCAGCTCACCCACTTGATCGCACGCCGTCAGCATCCTGTCCAAATCATCCTTTGTATGCGCAGCCGAGACACAGAACCTCGCTCTCGAGCTGACGAGCGGAGTAGCCGGGTATCCGACTACCACGACCGAGATCTTGCGCTTGAGCATCTCGTGAGAAAAGGCAGGCATCTTGGCTGGGTTGTACAGCATAACGGGGATGATAGGACTGTCGTCGTGGCCATAGACGATGAAACCGAGGCGCTTCAAGCCGAGACGCAGATACCTCGAGTTGAAGCACAGGCGCTGGAGTCGCTCTTCGCCCTGGCCGGGTACAATGGATCCGTCGATGATGCGAAGGGCCGAGGAGATCTGCATGAGCACGGGAGGAGCAGGCGATTCCGCAAACAGCATAGCGGCGTTGGAAGTACGCAGTTTATCGATGATGGGCTTCTCGGCGGCGATGTAACCACCATTTGCGCCGAAAGACTTTGTCAGGGTACCCATGAGGATATCGACTTCCGATGGGTCAATGCCGAAGTAATCGCATACACCACGTCCGCGGGGACCGACACCACCAACAGAGTGCGCTTCGTCGACGAAGAGGTTGAACTTGTACTTGTGCTTTAGGGAGATAATGCCAGGGAGATTGCACATGGTGCCTTCCATAGAGTACAGGCCCTCAACAGCGACGAGAATCTTTTTCCAGGGACGGTGGGTGCGGGGTTGACCTTGAGAGATGGCTTCACGGAGCTTGCGTTCCAGATCGCGCATATCGTTGTGCTTGAACATGGTGACCATGGCGCCGGAAAGACGGGCACCGAAGCGGATGGAGGAGTGATTGAGCTCGTCGGAGATCATGAGGCAGCCCTTTCCGACAATGGTGGGGAAGGTGGTAGCGTTGGTAACAAAACCCATTGAGAAGACCATGGAGGCAGGCTTGCCGACGAACTTGGCGATGAGGTCCTCGACTTCGACAGTGAGGTCCGAGGTACCGCTGTCGGAACGGGGGCTGGCCATGGAAATACCGTATTTGCGGATGGTGGCTTCGGCGGCGTCGGCACAGGGGCCTTCTGATTGAGCGAATCCGAGGTAGTTGTAGGAGCTCATGTTGAGGGTTTCAGTCGTGGTGCCGAGCATCTTGAAGGTGTTGTTTCCGTCATCTGACTTGCGATCAAGCACGGTAATGAAGCGTCCCGGGACGCCAGTCGTGGGTCGGGAGAAGCAGTCGTTGATGCGCATCTTCAACCGCCGTGTGTAGAAGTTGTCAAAGTCGCTGTTGAGAGGCGCATATCCATCCTTCTCCTGCAAATGGCTGTAGTGTTGCTTCCTGAAGCGCTTGCCGAAGAAGTCGCGAACATGTCCGAATACTATTAGGATTAAGTAGCTGATGTATGTAGTGAAAAGGAAATAATATGGCGGCTCGTCCTCGATGGGGTCGCCGAACTCGCCCTCGAACTTGCTAAGGTAGCGGTGCTTCTGAGAGCCGAGGGGACCGAACTGTGCGTGGGCGCGGGCAAGGCGGCGCTGCTCTTCTGGCGAAGGCGGCTGGAAGAGGGTCTTGGGCTCGGTGGGCATCTTCTCGCCAGTGGCCGTGGTCAGGTTGATGGTCGGGAGGGAGATTTGCGAGGGCGAGGGGTTGTTGAGAAGGGCCTGTTGCTGGGCGACAAAGGCTTCACGCAGGACAGCAGCGTCCGTCTTTGATCTGGGCGAGCCGCCGAAGAGCGATGTGAACTTGTTGCCCTTTGCGAAGGATGCTCGACGCGCAGAGTCGCGCTTCTCGCTGGAGGGATCGAGGGGGGGAGCAGGGGCGGTGGATGCGAACGGGTTGATGCTTCGAACAGGCATTGCAGCAATGGGACACCCCAATGGCACTATGGGTATTAAATTACGGGGATTGAAGGAGTCGTGAGCGAGTCGTCGCAGTCACGTCGAGTCGCTGCTGGCGGTGAAGAATGCACGAGTGTCGGCCGTGGGAAACGCTAGACGGGAAAGGGATCAGCAGGCGACTCCAAGGGAGGATTGGCAGATTGTCGGCGAGCAACGGCTGTGCATGGGCTGGGAGAAGAGAGGAAGTGTGGTTGAGTCTTATGGGTGCTGATGCGCTCATGCACTCGGTCTTCGGTGGACAAAGACCGGGGCGGCAGTGCCGGATAGCGTGCTTGGTGGTCAAGCAAGCTCCAAGGAACGGGATTGGGCGGAAGGTGCAGCGGGAAGACGTACGTGATGTGCAAACAGTAGCAAGAGCCCGGGGCAAGACGATGATGATGATGCTGATATGATCCTCGTCAAGCCGGTGTAGCGTGAATGCTTGGGTCGTCGCAACGCTTTTCGTGTTCCTGAGTGGCGCGGCCGTTTGCTACGAAGCACCAAGCACCAAGCTTCCAAGCCACCGTCTGTCGTGACGTAGAGATGGGGATTGACGGGCGGTAATGAACGACAAGATGTAGGTGCAGGAGAAGAAAAGCCTTGGAGCTTGCAACTCGACTTATCAGAGCCGTTGGCAAGGCAAGGGGGAATTGAGGATCCCTTGTCCTTCTCGCTCTCTCGCACCTCTGCTGCGCGAAACGACAGGCGGCCTTTGGTTGGCCCGACGAAATGAGCAGCCCCATCTGCCCGTTCCGCACCACGCCCAAGCGGGCCTCAAGTCAGGGGAACACGATGCTGATCGCTGCCACATCCCGAGCATCGCAAGCCTTGCCGGTCTAGCACACGACCCGCTGCTCGTCCGAGGGCTGCGAAAAAAAAGCCTTGCAAGGCTATAAGTCAGGCCATAAAGTCTAGAGCTTGGCCTTCGATTTTCCCGCAACGGTGCGATCACGCGTCGGAGAGCCGCACGTCATCGACTACAGCAAATCATAACAAAATTTCAATCGTGAGCCTGACATAATCATCGTCGCCGCATGCTTTGTCAGTCTGTCAATCTGTCAGCTCATGCCTTTCTTACTCGCCCGTCCATGTGTTCTTGGCACAACCTTGTAGCTTGTAACCGGTCGCAGACACTACTCGCACCACACCACATCATGCATAATCGACGATCTTATCGCATTGCTATTTCCTTTTCCAGCTTCACCTCTACCATACTACTGCGCTAGTAGCACATAAGCACATACTCACTTATACCTCAAGACTCGTGCTGCTGCCCAAAGTGTTTTCTGCAATCATCCCGCGACAGTTTCACTCCATGGGAAGAGCCTGTGTAGCAGTAAAATAACACGTTACAGCCTTTTCGTAGACCATGGCATGTGATTGGCCGACCCAAGTTTGCAATCAGACAGACCGATCCTGTGGACGACTCGACGGGTTGGCCCGAAAGCTACCTTCATTAATGCGCTGTCAAATGGGCTGTGTAGGCTGCCTGTTAGTGTAGCAAAATTGGGTAAATTGCGATGTGACTTTCATCTCGTAACCCGGGATACGAGACCAGTTTGTCCATCGTAATTTCATTTTGGTATAACATGGCACTTCCCCGCAGCTGCTCTAACTTGACTTTACACTCTGGACTATACATGCTGCCAAAGTCAAATGCTAGTATGCATTCATGATGATGGATGCTATCCCCAGGTTTGTTCAAGTAATGTAGTATATTTGTTTACTGATCTTGAAAGATACAGTTTTCTTTACCGGAGATCCCCTTGGAAAGGCTACAACTGTCAAGCACGCACAGCGGCTATGTAATCCACAACAACCCCCGCAGCACAAGAATCTCCTCAAAAGGTGGCAATCCTCTCTCTCTCTCTCTCCATCCTGCCAAAAGGGATCCGACAAGAAAATTCCGAACATCCGAGACGCACGCAACAAATGAAACAATGGCTAGCTCGCAACACGAAAAAGAAAAGATGAACAATGATCAAACGAGAAACCAAGAAATAAGAGACGACCTGCATGTGACTGCCAACGTCTTGTTGTTGCCAACACCAACCAAGCGCAGGTTCCACCAGTCCGCCATTTCTCTCTTGTATGAATGTATCCCAGCCCTAGCCAATTCCTTAGCAACGCCAATATCAATAACCAATCCCTGTATGGTGTGTGGTCGTTCGATGTGCGTTACGAAGAAGAGATGAGTTGCCGGGGTGCGAGGTAATAGTAGTAGAAGGGGGTGCGTCTTACAAGCGACAGGGAAACCCCAGTGCTAAAGCTCAAGTCGCTACCTGTCCAACGATTTGAAACCAATATGTGAGAGGGAAGATGACAACGACCACATTAAGTATGAGCGCGAAAAGTGGAGAGCCAGAGCAACCCGGCGACTGTCTCAAGTTGCAGGGTGTCTGTCCAGCTTCCTCGTAAAAA